AGCAGCGACCAGTCGTAATACTCCATCTCGCTCTTCGTCATGTGCGCCACCTGAGACAGCCGCATACCCTCCGATGTAACATGTCCTCGAAGTTCTAACACCACGTAGGACATTGTTTGGCTATTTTACTAATCGGTAAAGAAATCGAAGACGCATTGTTTCAGACTATCAGAAACACGTCATCTCAGTCACTCCCTTTTTGATCATGTCACATTTTACGCAAACCTTCCATCTCTTTCTAATTCTACCTCAACCGATGTACCACACTCATAAATAAGGTTATCCTTGTAACATGCGATTCATCCCTCCTCATAACATGCCCACAACAAAATTCGCTTCTGAATAATTGCTGTTTTTGACATCCGTGGTGTTAGAACATTGATATATCAATCTATACGTCAAATAAACAATGTGCAATAATTTAATTATAATATTGATAAGAGTGAGCAATGTACTTAGTAATGCAAGTTGAAAGCTCTCTTATCTAGGGACCTCTAACACGGGGGAATCTGACCCATGTTATGCTGGGTTTCTGCAGTTTCTTATTTCTTCATTACTTAACGTTTCGTTAGTGTTAAATGGACCTGTTAAATGGTTAAACGTTACTGGGAAACCGCCCATAAACACGGTCGCATTAGTGGAAAAGGAGACTTTGTATTCTTACTTTTTTAGAGATCAAATACATTCCAAACACATTCAGAAATAAAGTCAGAAACACAATAATTTACTATGTTACAAAAGTGTTCTTACCACAAGTCTGTTCGTGACTTTAGCGGCGACCATACCGAACGCCAGTATGTAGAGAGAAGGATGGTTCTCATACACGTGGGACTCGCTCTTCTGGAAGATGATGAAGGCCGGCACCACCACCAGCGAGAAGGGGATCACCGGAGACAGGATGCTGGTGCCCTGGGGACACCACTGGCTGTAACACGGACTCCACAAACACGAAGTTATCACACATAGAGTCGTTTCATGGTCAAACACTCTCATAGTAAAGAATTATCTATGCTTAGGCAGCCCTTAGTGGCCATTTACTCAGATTGACCTTTTACCTATGATCTTAATTAAAGAAAATATTACACTTCGATGTTTTGACTTTTTTAGATGTTTTAAAACCTCAAAGAAGTCTTGAAATTATAATTTGAGTCATTCTATTTTCGTTCAGTAATGGACTTTTAAATGTGTTTTTTTTCATTCACACAATATCATCAAGATATTTGCTATTATTGAAATGAAATATTCATAAAAACACTAAATACTATTCTACCTAAATTAAAAAATAGCAACAAATGCAACAAACCAAAGCGACAATGTTAGCAATAAAATGAAAAATTAATCAAAATACATAAAACATGCAAAAAACATCAAAAACATGCAACAAACACAATGCGCACGTGATTTCAAATAATAAAAAAAACATTTAAAATATGCCGAATTATTTTCCAATAACTTTTGTCTAGATGTTTACATATCAATAAAACATAATTTGTAACCACGTACGCGATGTCACTTTCCACTATTATAACATTTGTAAAAACATTCGTCTCTATCGTTTTTTGCAAAAGAACTGTGATAAGAATATGTTTTTATACATGTTTTGCTAATGGAAACTGACAATGAGGAACATAGCACAGACAAATAGCGGCATTCAGCGGCCACACGCAACATACGGCTAACAAATTAGTTGGCAAACTGAGAACGCGACCTCATCATACAAAACTCTTACCAGGTATCCTTACATTGATTTTAAATCTAAATGTATCGTGTAATATATTTTTAAATTCATCTTGTTTTATACTTCATCATGCTGAAAGGATTTCACTTAAGTCTCTACTGTAGTAGAGCACATTCGAACAAGAAATTAATATTTATAAGAAATGCACATTTTTATAGTAGTGCCGTGCTTTATATAGATTTAGTAACATATAAATCGTCGACAATACATGCGAGATTACATTTAACATAATACATTGCATTGTCATTCCCTCGTTTGAGCGATAGTATATGTTCCCGGAGCAAGCGCGGCGTGCGTATGACGTTACGTCACGTCACGCGGACAATGGGCACGGTGCACATCGTATAAAGCAAGCTCTTACTGCGACTGTGGAGCCGTTCTTCCCCACGCCGCCTCTCATTATGACCTTAACGTAGCCGAACACGAGAGATAAGGTCATTAACACGACCGCGTAGTTGGACACCAAGTTAATGCTGAGGTCGACGGTCGGGAGCTGCTGGTTGACGGTCAGTGTAACGGTGTCATGTCGGCGGCCGGCGGCAGCAACAGAAAAAGAGAAATAAAAAAACATGCCATTAATACTGAGGAACTCCTCAAGCGACGGCCTCCGATACGTGTGCTATCTTCACTCATCGGTTCGTTATCGTTAATCACCTACGCATAACCTCGAACGAAGCACCAATAATTTTACCAAAATAAAAAAGACCCGTTATAGACTAAACCTATAAGCAACCTATAGCTCGAGAGGTGATTTGCGATAGGCGAAAGAAAACGTGATAAACAATGAAGATACTAGTGTTACCAGACGCCTTGAAATGTGAGCGTGAGTCGAAAATGAAGCCTGAAGTACCGACTGCTGTCCCGGCGCACACTCCGCAAACACACAGAGTATTTACAGAACGAATCAAGAACGGGTTAACAGGTTGTTCAATTTTGTAAATACTCTGTGATTGTTGCAGTGTTCGTGGGGTGAGAGATGTCTTACAGCGACGGTGGAGCCGTTCTTGCCGCACCCCCTAACGCGGAATGTGGTGGCGAAGTTGACCAACAGCAGCAGCTGCGCGGCGTCCGACAGCACGCACGCCACCAGCGACGTCGGCCACTCCGCGCCTGCCAGCTGCCCTCACACAACATTAACTATGTCTTCGACCAATCACCACTCGCATCGTTTATATGTGATAACATATATTTTCTGTTTCTAGATCCAGGATAGGACATCGAATGAAGAATTTTTTTTAATGTTTGATGTGTGAATACGAATGTAGTTTTAGAAATGTATCATGTTTGTAAAAAATATTACACTTCTTGCTTATTAATTAGCACCAACAAGGACGCGGTAAGTACTGGACAACTTGAAGCGTAATGAGCCTAATTTCTCTACATTGACGAATTACTCTATACCATACACATTACAATTCAGAACAAAATTTATACAAATACTTCATATTCATAATAATTTTTAATACGAATTACATCGAATATTCTTAAACTTGTCCCTAAATATATTATACATACGTAAAAACGTTATTCTAGCAATAAATGTGAGATGAGCGAATGAATGAACGAAACCGGATGAGTGAAGACGCACGTGAGATGGTACACAACCACACAATGACATCGATAATATGAAAAACTAACGACTTAATTAATTAAAAATACTTTAGACCATGCTCAAAGTTAGAATATAATATAATAGGGACATTGACGTCGCATCAAAGACATATACTGTTTACCTTAAATTGAAAAAGAAAAAAAGCAAAACAAAACAGATAAACAATGTCTCTATTATATTACAATGGATTAAAATAAATAAATAACAATGAGCATAACCATAAAGCCATAAATTAGGACCGGACTAGACATGCTATTAAAAAAACCCACATGATGATTAATAAGCGAAACCAAAATACCTCAAAACAACCGAATGAAAATTAAAATTAACACTAAGTTACACCTCCAGTACGCACGACCTAATTAACAAGTAATACGCTCGATAAATCTATTTAAATATAAAGTTTTAGTAGTGATGGGGGTATGGGGGTAAAGTTTTATTACAAAGTGATACAATTTCATGTCTGATTATCGAAATTTTGAAAATATTTAACCACGATGCTTTCAAGCGATACATTTTGATCATAAACCTTGATCATAGTTAACAAATGACACAAACATAACCCAAAAATTTTGAAAAAATGCCAAAAATCCCCCACCCTACACCTACCGTTAACGCGTACAACAAATAAGTATACCAATAGCATTGTAAACCCCCAAACCCCCAATATAAATATGTTGTCGCTCACTGCAACCGTGGAGCCGTTCTTGCCGACGCCTCCGGCCAGTATGGCCGTGGCCAAGCTGCCCAGGGTGAGCGCCGTGCCCAGCACAGCCACGCCGGCCAGCGAGTACCGCATTTCCAGCCCGCCCACCTACGCCGCACACGGCACACGTCACCCACGGCCCATAACACCCCACCATAGGCAGTTTATACAAAAATACGTAAGGAAGAATTACATATAAATTATCGTGGAGCGTTGTAACTCCTTGGCTGGCCGTCTTCAACGTTCAGTCGGCGGATGCATCTTAGTGCGAATCGAAACTTTTTTTGCCATATTTTGACTGCGGACAATATTTCAGCTAACGGAATGTTAATAGAGGTAGTAATTAATTCCCGCTAGTTCATGTTGTATTTGCTTTCACTCTACGCTATAAATATAATTTAAAATGTTACAGTTACAAGAGTCGTGCTCGCCCATGTATGAATAAAATTAGTGTAGTCGGTGCGAGTACATAGTTTCCCAGGTTAGTTGGAAATGGTACGTCATTGGATTAATATTGTTATTAGAATCCAAGAGCAATTAATTAGATATCCACATTTATATGAAAAATTAACAATTAACAATTGATATAGTGCTAAGATACACATGTTTTTATCATATGTTACTTATCTGATCTAAACGTTTAACCTTAAAAATGTACATTTTAAAATTATCTAACACAGTGTCACCTCTAACTTAATTACGGTAGCGTCATGTGGGAATTTTTAAAAATAAATGCCTTTCGCTTATAATGATACATGTGAATATTTCGATGATCGGATGATGGTTTCAAATTAACATGAAGCTCCTAAACTGATAAAAAATTAAATCAAAACATAACTTTGGATGTGGCAAAGGGACCCCACCATCCGACCATGTGTGAGAACAAGATGCGGGTGGAGCACATTACCTTGGTGGCCCAGAAGTCAGGGCCGAGGGTGGCGGAGATGAGCTGTATGGCCATGATGGCATATTGTGCCTCTGTGACGTCGACGCGCCCCATCTTCAGCGTGCCTGTCACATACGCCTGCCAGTGCGCGCAGTAGAACAGAGTCATTGCACAGAAACACTGCAAAATGAATAAAACAACTCCAAAATATAAATATGTAAGGTTTAATAGCCTGTCTCCCTGAGCCTGGTTTAGTAAAAAAAAATAAAAATAATTCTTCAAGTCTTTCAATAAACTATCTTGCATTATTTGGAAACTTAATTTACAATAGTTAGTACAATTTAATAAAACTATCTAAATTCGCCTTTGTCGAAACGAAAACTTCAAAAAACACAATCCATCAAAGTAGGGCGGCGAAAATATGTTGGTTACTAATGTTGCCTAAAAAGTAAAAGTTATCTCAAAAGAAAGTGAAATTCTTTAGAAAGTAACAAATCTTTGTTAGATTGTAAACGTTTTCAGATAGTCTTATTACATATTTTTTAAACATATCTATATATCTAAAAGTGATCTAAACCAAATCTAGAAAATAATTTTCGACTGGATAACTACTGCGGTCACTGAATAATCCTAATAAGAACATTATAATTATCAGCAGGGTTTTTTGAAGTAATAATCTACGTAATTTAAAATATCTATTTAAGGTTAATATTGGATTGGCTTCGGATGCTCACATAAGAGAGCAGTCTACAGTCGGCGACTTGGCAAGCTCTCGTGCGACGGCGCGGCGCAGTTGCCAACTGCCGGCTATTGTTACTATACACTCATCGCCATACAAGTTACAAATCTTACTTATCTTATTTTACTTCTTACTATCTCACCAATATTAAAAATGCGAAAGTTTCCATGGATGGATGGATGTTTGATTGTTAGAGTTTGTAGGCGGCTGAACGGATCTCGGAGAAAATTTGGCATAGAAGTAGAGGATAGTCTGGAATAACACAGACTACTCACTTTTGTTTTTTTTTAATTCCACGCGGAGGGAGTCGCGGCCAAAAGCTAGTATTCCCTAAACAAGACTACACAATAACGGCTGAACCATTTAGATTGATTATTAAATCAATCTTTAAAATCGATTCGAAGTTTATTTTCATAACATAGAAAATAAAAAGCCTTATCTATCTCTTAAAAGGCGTGTTTTTAAATATATTTTTTAGTTAAAATCTACTTTGGTAAGTAATGTGAAATCTAGTAAAAATAATTGCATATTTTAGCATCAGTTTTAATCGTCGTAATTGGTTTATAGCGAAACGGACATTAATTATGTGAAAACTTTAAATGAATATGCAATATCTATTAATTGCGATATTATCAGCGTTTATTAAAGTGAAAAGCACCGCACCTGTATTTTAACGGATGGCACATAAATAAACAAGTGCATAATACACTCTATGATTCTTAATGTAGACTTTTATTGCTGCTAATCGATCACATATCTACTGTAATATAATTAAAAAATAGACATTTTACAGGTATTTCAGAAGTGGAGACACATCTTTACGGCGTCTGTTAAAAGCATCATCTCGTTATCAAAACAATGCATTGTTTCCATATTCCAAATGTTGCGTAACGGAGGCTCATGTCGGCCGCGACATTCACCTCGCCTTGGCTGTGGCTGTCGTCACACCTCGTATGTCATGTCAATGCAACGGGTCGACGACATCTTATGAACAAAACTTGTTTGAATCGGACATCCTATTTGTCCGAAATATAATATTATTTTTAAATGCGGTGTTTTTTATGTTCCTAATAGCTTGAATTGATTAACTTTTACATGTAGAGTTTAGTAAATGTTAGAGTGGCAAACATAATTTTTTTTCGCTAGAGCGAGCCGTGTAAAAAAGTTAGGACTGTGAGCATAGCACCGCCATCTCACAGTCATAATTATTGTAATAAAGCTGGTCGAGAGAGAAAGAAAGGTTGCATTTAACCAGCAATGCAGTAAAATGAAAAATGGAGTATACGGTCGATCAAGACACCGGAGATTCCACAAAAAGAAAAATCACGAACTAAATTAAATTCAATATAAACACAATATATTCAGGTCTCAAGAAAACACAGAGATTGTAGATTTGGGCATTCATCCAAAACGTCAGATATATTAAATGTGGTCAAGACGTCAGTCTGTAGTCGCCGAAGCGACGCGACCTAGGCCGTGGGGTCGTGGCCGTAACATTGACCTCCAAACTTGGTGCTGCGGTCGACAACGATAGAACCACACTATACCTCCTACATTGGAACGAACTAACTAGACTTTAATATAATCATTCATTAATGAAACATATGCAAAATACAAGTCAATATAACAGTCACAAATATCTATTTTTACACTAATAGTAAATTATTCAAGGACAAGACTGCGATTGGAAGGTGGGGATTAAGGAAGGGGGGACGAGGTTAGTTTTAGCGTTATACCGCAAATTAAATAATCAAACATCCCGCAATGTCATGTAAAAATATATCATCAACATATAAGTTCGGCTGCTTTCAGCTAAGATATATGTTTTAAATAACGTCTACTAAAAGAGAATTCATTAACTACAGTGTCGCAATAATGATGAAATTACGAATCCAACAATTAGAGAACAATTAATACAGGAAAACATTACCGGCGTATTTTTCGGCGTACATTTTCAATTTCCTTTCGTCACAGGAAACAGAAGTCGAATAACATTAAATTGATAAACAATCAGTTTGCAAAAGTAATTTACATATTTAGTTAAATTTACATGTATATTATTCTTCAAGGCTATAGTTAAACGGATATTTTTGATATCGCGATATATTTCCGGAGGTTTGTTAATGATAAGTTCGCTTAAACGAGAAAACATGTCAGGGATTACTTGCTAAAATATATCCAAAGCGGGAGATATTTGGAGGAATGAATATCGCTAGATTAAAATAAATTCTATAAAATCTCTCTGAGACTGAAGAGATCAGACACGTGCGGATGTAACCGTGATGTTTATTGACACACCGCATTGTAATGCTAACTCATTTTGAATATATTTATTCGCTATTTACGATAGTATAGTTATCACATACGATAGTATTGCGTAATCAATCGTCACGCGGAAGTCCCGTCTTTCAGCTGTTATAAGTAGTTTAAATGTGCTAAAAGATTTATCATATAATTTTATTGTGTGACATAACACAGTTTTTTAGCTAAATATTATCGTATTTTATTAATTACATTTTATACTCATTAACTGTTTTTTCATGTAAAAATAAAAATGCTCTACACACCTCTCCTTATACCTATATTACGCGATAAAGATTGTCAAGAAAATACGCGTGTAAAATGGATTATGCGTGTAATATCGAGTTATAAACGCAAGAGCTGTTGTAACCGGAATGTAATTAGCAATTTTGTAATATATTGGCAACAAAACACATGCAATTTATTTAAATTAGCTAACATTTAAATAGATCAATAACATAAACATCCTGTCCTGAGCTGATTCACACCAGAGTTCATTCACCGACATTTGCGACGCGACCCGACACAACAAGCGATTGCGTTAAGTGAATTTAGTTGGAATTTAGTTGAGGAAACTGTAACGGTCGGTGCAATCTAGTTCGCAATGCGAAACTAATCCCGTTTAGCGCTCTAAATGGAGTTAAAACTTTATTCGCCACTTCACAAGTCAACGCAATCATTAATAATGCTTGCGTCACTTGGAAGCGCGGCATCACAAACATAGGTCAGTAAAAGAACTATGTAGATGACTTTCTTTTGAAATTTTTAGACAGTTTATAAGCTAAATGATAATTTTTGGATACTCAATAGTTAAAAGCAAATTAATTTCATGAAAATCTATATAACTTTAAAATACATTATTAGCTTGTAGCTTTCTCTTTGAACTCACTGCCATTTATTTAAATATTTTATGTTCATTATACTACATAAATTATAACACGGCTAAACTCACGTGATAACATTCGGTGTAGGCACCGACAGTTCGAACGAACACCCCCAACGGGTTCGAAACTGTCCGTGCCTACACCGAATGTTATCACGTGAGTTTAGCCATTTTATGTTCAACGCAATACTTACAATGTGTTGAAACTTGTACAAATAGATTTAAATCCACCCAAGTTTAAACAGATGGCAGACTGAATTTATAGATTCAAACTAATTCTGAAGGTAGGAGAGAAATGTAGCTAAATAAATGTGCACATTGACTAGTTAATGGAATAAAACATATATCATAGTAGACATTAACAATTAGAACATAGTAAGTCAATATTTATTGTAATAGAAACCAAGAGTTATAACTAAGGTAAAGTAATAGTTATATGATTATTTCCATAAGTTCTTGAACACATTCTTAAGTATTTTAAACAACATGGTAATTACCAAACTTTAATACATCAACTTCTCCTCGTCGTTACAGTGGAATTGTCATATCTTAATTCACTCCTTCATTAATTATAATCTAATGATTACTTAGACTAGACTCCATTACTTAAAGATCATAGTCATACAGAATCTAAACCTGTTAATATATTACTAACCTGGAAGAACATCCATGTCGGATACTCGCCGAGTTTAACAGCGATGCAAGCACCAAGCGCTATGAATACTGTTGAAATACTATCACAGCCGTGGTCGAAGAGTTCCCCAAGCGGTGACTGGCTGCCGGTGCGGCGAGCCTGCTTGCCGTCAATAGCATCCAGACTCTGGTACACAAACACTCCCAGAGCACACGCTGCGCACGCCCACCGCGGGACATCCTGACGGGCGTCCGGACTGTACCTGATAAACATAATGAAATCTCATCTCCTTGTCTTTATTCCACTTTAAGTATGTACACCAATTATTCATTTATCACTTAGTTATCATTTTACTATTTATACATGTTACTTTCTAATCTTACTAATATTATAAATGCAAAAGTTTAGATGGATGGATGGATAGATGGATGTTGGTTAGAGTTAGTAGCCTAAATGGCTAAACGGATTTCGATGAAATTAGGCATATGTGTAGAGGATACTCTGGAAGAATGCATAGGCTACTCACATTTGTTTTTTTTAATTCCGCGCGGATGGAGTCGCGAGCGAAAGCTAGTAATACATAAAGCTGTGCCTTTCAAATTCAAATCTGGTTTCAATATTTTTTTCTTTATGTTTGTTCAAAGTAACCTCATAATTGGTTGGACTGATTGTGATGAAACTATTACTGGATTTTAGCCAGCCAGCATTTTAAGGTGTTAAAAATTTAGTAATTAGTATAGCCTATATTACTCAGTGATAATTTGGCATCCTATAGGGAAAAGGATATTTAAGATCGTTGAACTAGTTTATAAGTTCAGTTTTAAAAATAAAAATCTCTCTTCTATTGGTATAGATGTGTCTTATATGGAATGTGACATTTCTTTGTTTACAATATTCTGACATTCACTTGAATGTTTGTTATTCATTTTTTTGTTACAATGAAAAAATTTTACTTTAAATGTGGTCACAGGAACACTAATTAACAGGTTTTTCCACAATTTTTTATCATTAATTAGTCTATTGTATATGACTATAATGGTTTTTCAATGAAAACCCACAAAAAAAACATTTACACAACATAAAAGATATTATTCAGTTCTGCCCACTGTCAGTATTACTAAAACGTAACTAAAGTAAAATACATTATTGGAGCAGATAATAAATTAAAGGTATATTTAATAACTAAAATTTTAATTATTATCTAACATAATTATTGTTAAAATCTCTGATAATTGAATTAACAGGTATGAAGTGGAGTGATCATGATAAGTGATAATTTTACTACAAATATCTTATCGGAATGGCGCGGCCTGGGATACGACCAATAGAACTTGCGTATTTCGATGTGACAATGACAATCTAAACACGATGTTAAATGACGACATAAACATACCAATATCGTCCCTAATTAAAACTAGTTTTACAATCTAGGCTAAAAGAAAGTAACGGGCTCTTGCGAAGCAAAAACGAAAGTCGTTCCGCTTGTTCTCCCGTGACATAAATCATTTAATTGCAAGGCATAAAGATACTTACCAAACTAAAATTAATGTTGTCACTACATTTATAATTAGACCTAAAATTGTAATGAGATTCGGAGCGAGCCATAGCGGCGTTTTAGACACCAGCCAGCACCACCAAGGTTGAAGCCATGCGTCCAATATACTAGCACTGGTACACGAATATTTATGTTCACTTAATCTTTTTAACTGTGCAGCGTTTAAAATCCTTTCCTTGTAGAACTGCATTTTATTGCACTGTCACGACATTTAACGAAAACTTATGTACTCATGAAACAAATTACTTGAATCACTATATTTGCCAAATTACCAAAACGAAAATTCGCACAACCATCAACCACATCTGATCTGACACTGACATCTGCCACAGACACATTATCTTTGACATTATCAATCAGATCTTTTCCCACGTCAAAGAGTAGGTATGAATACGTATCTCTACTCTATACATGCTCTATACCATAATCAATTATTTTAATGTAGTGTCGCCACTGTCGCTTTGGTGTTGCTTGTGAATTATTAAATTATGGCAGATCGATCGCTAGCGACCTCTTTTAGTGTAATTTTCTAACTTCATATAATGGGGCCTATAAAGGGCATGTAGATTTTTAGAATCAGGCTACACTATTTTACTTAGCCACATCTAAAACGATGTTATTAGTGTATCATGCACGTAATTTCGGTACTATAAAGTTTTTAAAAATCCCTGTTTCCAACAGCAACCAATAGATGGCGTTGTTTTGTGTCGATTAGACTCCGTCGGGTTTTTATTTTTAAGCTTACATCTTTAATTCCGTGTTTTTAATTCGCTGTACTTCAGATTATCAGTCAGTAAAGTAATATAACAATAAAAAAATAGATAACATATGTTTGCATGCAAAGATTATGTGAAACAATAAACGTGAGCATTCATTGCGGAACATATAATGTGTGTTTTTCATACATTGCCTACTAGGAAATATATACATGTAGGATACGTGTGTCTGAACCTTTAAACATTACTTTAAAAGTTATTTGCCTAAACAACTTCGGATTTGTACAATTTGTAATGTGTACAATTCCTAGATATCCATACATCAAACAACATCCTGTAACAAATACACAAGAGGTCATAATTCTGTACTAGGATATCCTGGATTAAGTTGTCAGGGTGTAAAAATAAAAATGAATATTTGTTTGAGCTTAATTCGAATGTATTTAACAGAATTTATTTATTTTATCAGAACCATAATCTTTCACCGTACGTAATACATTAAGCTTATCTGGGCACCATATTGACATAAATACCACCCTTAGGAAGGGCAAAAAGACGCATAGGATCGTAATTGAACTTCTCAGGGGTCTTCTTCGACGGCTCCACGCGGTATTTCGATAAAACCTTCACGATGCAGACTTCAGACTGCCATTTGGCGAACCGCATTCCTGCAATTTATAAGTGTCATTAAGTAAAACAAACGGTTCTATCTACTTCCTATGATAATAAGACATAGAATAATAACAATACAAAATGAAATTAATAAGGGTCGCAGAGGAAGAGAAATTTGAAGAAATTCCTATTGGTCTGTGAAGCGGTTACTTCGCACTTTTCTGGAATTTAAGTGGCCGCTAGTTAGTTTGTCACCTTTTGTGAACAGAAGTGATCAACCACAATTTATAAAAATCAGTTTTCATAGAGTCAATTCAATAAACAGTTATAAAAGGGGAAATCACTCGCAAATGTACATACCTAAACAATTCCTGGGACCAGCACTAAATGGTAAATAAGCGCAGGGGTGCCTATTTTTTATATTTTCCGGATCGAAACGTTCAGGATCAAACTTTTCAGGATTCGGATAATATTTAGGGTCGTTCTGAATGCCCCATGTGGATACAATAATCGTTTGGCCTTTCTTGATAGTGATATCGGTGCCGGGGAACACGTAGTCAGTTTTAGCGTTGCGCTGCGTGAAGTCTGCGACCGGGTATTTTCTTAATGTCTCATCAAATACCTTGCTCAAGTATGTCATCTCTTTCAAGCACTCATAAGTTATGTTGCCGTTATGACGGGAGAGAACTTCGTCTATTTCAGCAACGAGTTTGTCTTGCACATCAGGATTCTTCGCTAGTTCATAAAACAAGTAGGTCATTGTGGTAGCGCTGGTCTCGTATCCAGCCATGTAGAAGATAAATATCTGCGCGGCGATCACCCCGTCGGTCAGTTCGAGAAGTTTAACTTCGTCGGATTCGAACTTTCTCGCTGTCTCTAATGTTTTCTTTTCTCTCAATTCCAAAATTAAGTCGAACATATCCCTTTGACTTGATGGAGTTCCTCCCCTCATTTGAAGTACGTTTTTAGTGAGCTTATCGAAAAATGTACTAACAACCTTTGGGAAGAGGGAACCGTTAAGCTTTTTCAATATTCCCGGGTACATCATATCGAGCTCGGTGCTGTAATTTACGGTGAATATATGTTTGTCCAATTCTTCAAATGTTTTCAACATTTCTTCATCTAAATTGAGACCGAACACACAGGCTGCGATGTTAGTTATTGTGAATCTCTGCACTAGGTTGTGAATAGATTGTTCAGGTTGTGTTCGACTTACTTCATCGATGTATTTAACGAGCCCCTCGCCAGCTCGTGACATCAGAGGTAACATGTTCTTGAGCTTCCCAGAAGTGAAGAGCGGAGTGAATCGATTCCTTAACGACCTCCATCTATCGCCGTCCGCGTGGAAGATGTTAGCTCCGAGACCGTCGATACTGAATTCTACTCCTCTGTCGGCAAAGGATTCGAAGTCTTTGATGAGTACACTCTTTATTATATCCAAGTCGCGTAGCAATATCGATGGCGTTGTCATTCTGTAAATTCCGACAACCTTTTCGTTGGGATATGCATCGTAAATACTTTTGTAGACCATCACTTGAGGCTTTCGTCGAAGGACGGAGTCTTTGATGTTGCCAAATAATGGTACTGGGTTGGGTCCAGCCACATTTCTCTTCTTCCAATAATTGAAGGTCCTGGTAAAGTAGTAATGTAATGCGGCGATCAGCACCGTAACAATAGCTATGAGATACGCCATGTTGTACACGTCACTGCACGAGATCACCGAATGTGTGAGACTCCGCGACCGCAGACATATATACATCAATAATGCTTATCATGTTTGACAAGCACAACAAACTTAATTATGTTAGTGATTATGAATAAACAAAAATATTATGATTGTTAATCCTGATTATTAAATAAAAATCTCATTGTTAGATAACAGTTTTAACTATCTATATGTATTTTTAAATGTTTATCTTTTAAGAAATGATTATTTTTATATTGTTTAATTTACAAACGTTGTGTTGTATTTGATCTACACTTAGGTCTTTATTTATAACACTATTCGTTACTTGTTACGCATAATGTTATAAAAAATAACTTCTTACTAAAAATAACTCCAGAGAGGTACAGCTTAAATTTGCCCTTAAATCGTACACTTTTTTCACACAAGTATCAAACAAATCAAATCATCGTTCATTGTGAGTGCAGCAAACATTCTTAATCCAAGTTACTGGCGTCAGTGTGGACCTTCAAGTGTATGTGGTACAAGCTTAACCGAGCGAATTTTCTACTAAAATATTGCCTTATCTTTTCTATGCTATTCTTAGACAATATATTAAACCACAGACGGAGTCGGGGCTATGCGCTAGTTTATACAATAAAGATAGATATTAAAAATACAGTCATGGTGTCGATTTTATTTTAAAACTGCAAGTTATAATAACATGTATTTATTTAAATTAGTAAACCGCGCATGACGAACAATAAATAAATTAATTCCGAGTCTTGATGACTTGCTTGTTTTTATCATAAGTACCTAATTTATATTTTTTTATCCTAGCTGTTACAATCTCGGCAGCACTTGAAGATAATCATTACGCAATATTTATTATACAAAAAACTGAACCATATCTATACTAATTGTATAAAGATAAAAAAAATATTTGCTTGTTTGTATTTAATAGGCTCTGGTTTTTTTTTTAAAGTTTTCAAGTACTTTTTACCAATATTGTAAATGCGAAAGTTTAGATGGATGTATATGTTTATTAGTGCGCTGAAATATGTCACAGATGTAGAAAGTAATTGGTAAGAGAAGAAAGGATGAGTTTTTTTTTTATAATATAAGGTAGCAAACGAGCAAGTGGCCACCTGAATCCACCAAAATGGAAAGCGACCGCTGTCCATAAACATCCGCAATTGCAGATGCGTTGCCTACTCTTTATTGACGGAGGAGGAGACGCACAGAAAGAGGACATTTCCCCTTCCTTCACGTCTCCTCCACCGACAAATCCATTTTTCCTTTCATCCTTTCCTCTTACGAAAAGGGTGGAAAGGAAAAGGGACTAAAATTAGGTGCGTGGACGATGTCTCGGACGACAGCTAGTGAAATAAAACATGTTTTGTTTCAACAATAATTATATTTTAATTACATAGTTAATAGTCTTTACGATAGACAGATAATTAAAAATAACAAAATATTCGTACAAACTTTTAAGTCTTGATATTGTAGTTTCTTAACATAAAATGATTTACACGATACAACATAATAATATTAGCCTTATTTTTTAAAGATGTTAGGTTTGTACATAGTCCAATTACTGAGTATTTTTACATACAATAAGTACCGATATATGAACATCTAAATGAATAAATCCTACAACAAAGAGAGTAATAATTTATTTCAATTGTGCGTATCATCAATTTGTTTAATATACGTAAAGGTTTCGATATCACTTTTAACAATATTCATTGTAATTATTATAAATTGAACAATATCAAGTTCTGTATTCATAGGTCTATCAGTTTATCGTCTTTAGTTACAGAAAAGAAAAAATATATAAACACATTATATATATCGATGATACATAATATAATACATAAGTACTTTTCAATTCCTTTACATACAATACACAAACGTACATACATGTTACCTAATGATAAAAGTAATTGAAGTCTACAAGAACAACTTAGAAATGGAAAAGATATTAACTTTGGAGTTTGACTTTAAATAACAATTAAATATTTCTCTCTTTTCTATCAAATAAAAATATTCTGTCCAGCTTTTTTGACTTCTAATTGTTTGACTTCACTTTCTTTACCTAATCTTTGACTGCTGTTTGTTGCCTAATATTTGATAGTCCTACTTTTGCTACCTACTCTTTGACTGTCCCTTTCTGGACTCTATTCGCTTCTGTAGCGTAGTGAGCAGAGCGCCCAGCACGTTGTGTCCTGGCAGCCGCTTGCCGAACAGAAGTCGCTTCACCGAGTCGTCGTACGTCAGCAGGGCTACCATGTTCTGCAGCAAGAAGCCTTGGCAGTACTCCAGCAGCTGCGTAGCCCCATATACCTGGGAAACGAATGTAGATATCGTTTTAGTGGCAGTGTTCTGTACCTATTTCATTATGGTGGAGGGGTGGATAGAGTCTGAGAGCTGTACCTTAGCATGTATATAGACGGAAACGAGGTTGTGCAGATCAAGGGCGGCGGCGGCGCGCGCCTCGCAGTGGCGCTGCAGCGGCAGCAACTGG